GCACCTGCTCTTTCTCGATCCTCCCCACTGACACTCCCAGCTCTCATCCACAATGACAATAATAAAGCCCGCTGAGTTTACAGTGACCCAATTCACCTCGTCGTTACTTTCATCCGAGCGAAACAATGTACTTTTCCCTACTACACTCCGCACGATCCGACCTACAACCTAGACATTGCTATAATGGAAATACATTGTCTGAGCACTGGCCCAACAGCAGGGTTTACGACGCCAAGGAGTTTCCAGGCCATTATTAGAGGCAAAAATCACATATATTTCAAAAACTAGTCATTCGAATATCCCTTAATGCACTATCTGCTCCTGCAACAACTCCTCGCACTCGGTAGATGGCAGTATCCAAACGCTGATTCGTCTTCTTGAGCACACCTCCTTTTACGACCAATTCGTTGTTAACTGGAACAAAACATTGGTGGAACGCGTTGGAATAAATGTTTCAAATTGATTGCACACATGGTTGCAAAGAGAACCTTGAAGGGGAGATTCGTATAGTTAGTCCGCTGTCTACGCTTCAAGGAATGCTTCTGCAGTATATTAAAGGAGAGTTGGGAATTAGAACAGTAGAAAGAGGCCTTTCGCACATCGCGAGATGCCCAGGATGTTTTCTCACCGTCTGTTGCAGGATCCCCTTCCAATGCAGTCACGGCTTGCATCGCTCCCGCGAACCGGATTGCTCTCAATACTTTGAGCTTATTTTGGGTTAAGATTATTAGCTGACATTCCCGTTCTAGCAATAAGACGGCAACCGGGCCCACTGGAATTCGCTGCATTGCTTAGGTAGACTGTATACCTGTCCATTCCGATCCACATGTACACGTCTTTGTTTTCTACAGAGTGGCATAAGGTATGGCATCAGAACACTTGAGGATTTGACTAATACATAGCTGCGTTAGGAAATACAGGCTTCACCAAACCCGTGAGGTTTGGTTTTCTCGGATGGAGTTAACCCCTTCCAAGAGACGCCTGATTGCATCTATTATGTGCTGCTGTCTGTATTCACAATGGCTGCTTGCCATATGACTCGCCCCTAAGCGACCACATATTTTTATTCTAAGCGGCAACGGAGACTCTAAGGACTGTCTCTCTTCCTCAAGAATCGTATCTGGATGAAGTCAAACCGCCAGTAGTACACTTGAATAATTGAATCCTTCAAGTCTATCGACAATGGCACTACGACGGAAACGATCCCAAATAATTTTGAAACGGACTACTAACTCTCGAAATACCGCCGCCGCCGCGGCGCCAAAGGGTACATGCCCACATAAAACGACTATCCTTCAACCAAAATATAGTTGGACGTCGTAAATTAGTGCTTTCCTATGTGCTTCGAGGAGTACTTCAACAGGCTTCCGAACCGCACTCGAACCATTCCCGTCACGATGGCATGCTAACACGTCTTTTGCAAGTCCTGCGTTGAAACCCACTGGATCGACAGAGTTGAGTGCTCACTCCCTTAGGGTCAGCCTTCCCTTCCCCTCCAGCCTGAAAAATGCGATTTATATGACGAGTGGACTAAGAACGACAGCGAGTCGTCTCTAAACCTTACTATGAGAGCACGGGAAATGTGCAACAGTATTTCAAACACACTGAAAGATATAGCGGAGGAAGACAACTTCTACAAGCTCTCCCGGGAAGGTCATGACGCACGTTAGAGACACACACTGACGAAATTTGAATGACAATTTCATTCGGGAGTCGATCCCGCCGGACTCCTAGACCCACAAGCCACATACGAGTTCTAGCCCCGAATCCAGCGTTTCCGTCTCCGGCACCGATCACTTCCCATCGCGCGAACACGACCCAGACGACTACAAGCCAGGCAAAGAGTCTTGAATTTCTGCGTTCTCTAGGAAGTAGACGTTGGGACAAGATAAAGAAAATGGCGAAATTGAGGATGAAATTAAGTGGGCGTGACTGCACGCGGCTACAAGGCTCGCAAGATGGATGGGTGTAGAACTTGCCATTCAAAAGAATTGTCGATCATAAAGTCACTAGTGAAGGCGTTGTTACTCTGAAAGGAATGGGAGGAAGCGTCAAACAGGAGTGTAGCGTGGTCGTGATATTCAGAGTTGTTGATAGGCAAGGATGTCCGTCGAGTATGGGGATATAAAAGACGAATATTTAGGAGCGTTGTGCGTGTACGAGATTGTTGGTATTGGTTGGTACAGCGCATACAGGGACATCTTCATGTTTGTGAGATACTCATTTCAATTATTCGATGGCTTATATTGGGATTCTTACTACAAGGCCCATCTGTTTCCAGCAAGATACAAGACCATCTTACTAGATAAAGACCGTATATCAGGAATAACACATTACTTATGTACTTAAGTAAAGAATATAGTAAGGGGTATATACAAAAGAAACGCCGACCAAAAAGTAACTCGCTACTTACCCCTCTCCTCGAGCCTCATCATACAATGTCCGCTTCCAACTCATTCAACTCATCCAACCCCTTTGGCACCAAAATGGTCCTCAAAATACAATCCTTCCCATTATCCGGACAAACCTTACTCCGATTCAACTGCTTATCCGACGGTCCCGTCGGCCCCGAACTATACTTCGCCTGTCCAAACAGCTTCACCTGTCTTTTATCACTAGTAGGATACTCTTGATCTCCCCACCTGCCCTTAAAATACAGATAATTCACCGGCGTCGCTCCGCTACTATCATACGGCGTAAACTTATTCTCACCTGCGCTGAAAGAGTAGAAATAGGCGGATTTTAAAGGATCCCAGAGCGTGCCTTCGTTGGTGTAGTCTTCGAGGACGCCGCCGGGTAAGTTGAAGTTGGGGATTGTGTGGTCGTGGGTTCCGGAGATGGCGTAGTTGGCATGGGAGCCGTTAGAAGAGAAAGCGATGGGCTGGGAGCAGGTTAGTGGGAAGGAGGTTGGAGGTATGGGGAAGTGATGACTTACTCGGAGACCGTTTTTGTGGACGACGTCGTACTTGAAGGCTTGGCCGTTGCTATGCTGCGAGTACCAGATGTGTTGGGGCTTGCTGTTGGAGAAACGGATCATGTTGTGTTCCCTTGAAATTTTGTTATCTTGGTGTGACGGGGTAAAGGGATTGGTGGGAGGAGTACCAGTCGCCCACGTGGTTACCTGAGTACGTTAATATATACTGAATTAAGAAATGAAATTAGAATTCGAAAATTCTTACCAAACTGCAGCTGTTGTAGACCGAGAACGGTCCCTCCCCAATTGTATGCATAAAAGTACATATAAAATGCATCCACATTGCCGCCTCCTTTGTCGTTTACAATGACCGCTGCCGTAACAGCATTGTTGGTCTTCCCAGATGCATCAGGCTTGACTCCCTTGATCCAAGTTGGGTTTTTTGTAATGTCGTCCTTAGAGGTGAGGTAGACATCTTTGCTAAGCGAATCCAAGTTGTTGAGATCCAGCGGATTTGGAACATTGGGCACTGCGGCGAAGTTGACTTGAGGGATTGAATTTGAAACCTGTGCCGCGATGTCCGATGGGAAATATTGCTCTGCAGAGTGTAGCCATACAAGGGGGGCTGAGGTGGTTGTTTGTTAGAAAGTGAGCCTTGAGCTTGTGATATTCCCAAAGAAGACGTATACTACGAATGAGGAGATGAGGTGGATTTTGATGGGAAAGGATAGGTGTACTAAGAAAACGTATGATAGGAAATGCGTATCCTCAAATATTCTCCGCCTGTTTCAATTTTGAAGCTTCTTTGTGAAAGTGGATTCTCATACCATAGTCTAGCACAAACTGAGGCACTCCGGCCGGAGCTTGTCTTTTCTTACGTGTCGTAGGGACAGCAGAGACTGCCGTGACAAACGTCACAACGGAGAAGAGTAAATTAAACATGCTGAAAAGCTCAAACGAAAGTGACCTTCACCCTACCGAGCCCACCTCACAATGGCAGCCACCATGTCTTATACAAAGTCGTCCAGAGCCAAGGCCACCCATTGTTAACAGCCTGTTCTATCAGTTACTGCAACAGTCGCGTTGCCAGGGTTCAGAATTCGCTAGGATGACCCCTATCCTTCGTCTTTTCGTTCCCCTCATGTGCACCGCCTGGTCACCCCCCGTAGCCGCCCCCGCTGATTCGTTATGCACATAATAAACAGCCATCGCGCACCTGCTACATTCTACCAGGGACCGGGAGGCAGCGTGCTCGAATAGGGAGGTTGAAGTGGAGTGGCGGCATGTGGCTAAGAGACGAATGGTGGGGTTCTCGAGCCTCGCCGAGGCGGGCAAGACATGCTAGAGCATGTGGCGGAAAAAGGGGCGTGCTGTGCAGGGGTCTGCAGATCCTCACTGGCTGCATCTAAATTAATATGCTTCGCTGTTTGTGTGGTCGGAGTTGCATTGATTGGTGCGCGTGGATGATGGGCGTGAGCTTGTCGAGCGGTGATTGAGATTGGAAGAGTACTTTTTCGATATATGGGTGTATAAATTGAAGGAAATAAGCGAACAAGTGGTGACCTGAAGACGAAGTACAACTTACTCTAGTCTCTTGTATGCCGAATGAGGCTGTTAATGAGTTCTTTCCATTGGTGTGCTACGATTTATTTGTATCTAGGGACTCAAGAACCCAAATTTCGATGCTGAAAACTGCTTGAGTTTGGGGGTTTGCACTTCTAGGGAGGTTGCCAGCAACCGAACATCAATGATGAACACCTGCTCGTCGAGACAACTAACATACAATATCCATAATTGGAGAGACGAAGTACGTTCTCTGTACAGTTTCCCCCAAACGGATGTCACATGAAAATTATGTCAAAAACGGCGGACCATACCTCATCGGACATGGAATCGCCAAAACTTGCAGTTTCTCTCAGCTGGCATCATCAACTCGGCCGACTCACTATCAAACCATGACCAATTTATCACCAATTTTTATATTGGTTTCGCCTCATAGGATTCCAAAATACAGAGCATCCCCATTTAGTACTCGGGACATCAGCCTTACGGTAGCTATAAGTTCGTATGGCGCGTCTTTGATCAGCACAACATGTGGACTGTGTTGAGGGAGCGATATTGATAAAGCTGCCCGTCGAGATCATCATAGCCACCATTGAAACCGTAAGTAGATATTCGAAGATATTAAAAGGGAAGGGATCTAATAGACAAGCAGATCCTAGAGCCGCGCCAACAAGATGTGAAAACCTTGTCTGAAGTATACATGTATGTCCACAACATCGCCGGGCCTCTCTTATACGAATCCATTAGTCTGAAAGCAGAGGAAGATTCCCTGGGGAATGTTGATCATTCCGCAAAATTGTTATTGCTTGCTCGGAATAGTCTGAAGAAGCTTCTGCAGTACACCAAGAAGATTCAGGTTACGGCTAAGTTCCACAAGCGCTGGACTGACCGCTGTCTCCATAAGAAGGATGGCGAGGAGAGGTTGATCATGACCATGATGATATGTATAGTTCCCCCGGGATGAAAAGACTAGTAGAAAGTGTCACTCCTGTGTTGGAAGGACACGTGGGTGGTAAACTCCGAAGCCTCATGTATGATTTCTCCGTCTTCTCTCCCTTGATTTTCCTCAATGTTCCTTTGTTCCAATTATAATGCTAACTCATTGCGCAGATGGGAAACTGGAAGCTGCATTCCATCCATATTTCTCGGTCCCTCAGGCTATCTCACGCCAAATTCAATCTGATATCGATACGCAGCGTATAGTGATTGAAGATCGCTGTTGGTGGAACTACCATTCGCCTAGTATGGCACCTTTCAAGAAAATCAAGAATCTAACTTGGATCGGCAGCCGGTGCTGCTACTCTCACGAAGTCCTGTGTGAACTTATGCACCTCATTTCCAACCACCTTCTTAGCCTCGATCTGGATTTCATATTCATAGAAGCGTATCGGATAGAGGATTGCTCCGGCTTCGAAACCACGGTCGTCGATAGACGGCCTGAGAACTCAACGTTCATATTTCCGGTTCCGCAGAGCTTATCCCTATCAATGATCTCCTCCACCGGTCTCGAAAAATTCGTCGTCGACAAATTTAATCTCTCCACTCTTCGTTCCCTGACGTTGTGCTTCTGCATGGGCTGGGAGCACTTCCTACAACATGCCAGCTCAAAACCTGGCATAAAACTACGCCGCCTAGAAATCCAAGGGAATATCGAATGCCGCTACTGTCGTACCGAGAGCGTGATTTCGAAATTTCTAGGCTCGTTTGAAGGGCGGAAAGAATTCGCGCTGAGGACGAGGAGTAATAAATGGACGTTGGATATCCTGCGCGCATTACTCCACCACCGTCAATCCTCAAACCCTTCATCCACTATCAACGAGAAGCTAGTCAAAAGAAAATTTGCGATGCGCCGGATCTATCGTTCCGACCCGTTGCTATCACAAAGCTCGTCAAAGAACCCGCTCGGAATCCGTTCAGCACGCTGGATTTGGAGTGTTTGGGCTTATTTAGCGATGTCGGGTATCTGAAGGTACCGCTTAATACGCCGGCCTTGAAAGCGAGTTTGACGGTTTTGCATGTTCGGCAATCGGGACATGATCTTGAGGAGTATTAGAGTTGATTTTGCGGACTAAGGATGAGGCGGAGAGCGCGGATGAAGATGTGGCTGGGATTAGGCATCCTAGAACCGACGGTTGAATCGATATGGCGTTCAGAATGTGCCCTTCTCGGATAATGAGCCAACGCGGTTGTTGGCCAGAATCCGGAAATTTACTGAGTGGGCGTTTGAATCCGATGGTTGGGGTCTTTGGAGGTGCTGTTTGCGGGCGATTTCAGCTATGAGGAACGGTATCCGGCGAATAATGTTGTTCTGCACAGGAAGAAGTCAGACGAAGAAGATTCTGGACAGGATCATCGTCGCTTGAATAAAGATGAACGCGAGCGGTGGGATCTTCTGTATCGCTATCGCAATATCCTTGAAGCTTGTCCCACGGATGGCTTCTTCGGGAAAAGAGTCGACACCTAGAAGGTATCATCAGAGTATATTTCGCGTTATTGAAGATAAAAGAAATATATATATATATAATGCCAGTATAATATCGCTGCTGCTGTCGGAGAACTGAGGACGCAATCTCCTTGATGCTATTTTGCTATGCTGTCATGAACTATATGAAGTGAAATGGATGAGCAAACGCCCGGTTAGCCGTCCGCTGTCCGGGGGGACCGGAACCTCTTCTTTCAAAATGGTCGACCTGTTCTAACCGCGCGCAACAACTCTATGTATATCGGATCTCCAGTATCCGACTTATGAGACCACCCAGGACCTAGAATTCTCACACATATATTTCATACACCTTGAGGTCAATACAATAATTGCCGCTTGGAATTTCCAGACTCTTCCCCATCTCGAGATCCCTTAGTGACATCAAATAAGCCCCCGGACTGCAAATTCTCTACCGGATCCACGATCTCACTCGAGCGACGCCGATTGGTAGCGTCGGAAGGTTTCTTGCTCGTCGACAAGAGGTCGACACCGGACTCCATGTCGTTCGTATTGATTCTGGTAGTGTTTACAGAACGCTGAAGTTCTTTCTCTCCTGCAAACACGAAACAAGTTGAGAAGAGGTAGGTGCAGAACCCGATGCTTCCGACAATGAGATACATAATCGCTATCTTTCGCTCAATTAGCACACCAGTACCCCCAACATCGTCAGAGTCAACTCACTTTATGGTGATTTCCCCACTCATCCCTTCGAATGAACGGCGTACACACGTACACCGTCAGACCACTCAAGAATGTACACCACGCATAGCTCATCGTCATGCTTGGGAACTGCCATAGAAACAGCATAATCCAGTGTCCCACGCCTGGCCTCTTCTTGTAACGCAGAATGACACGCTTAGTTCTTTTAAGTTCCAATTCCGAAAGACGTTCATTGAGCTGATCTTTGTCGGGGATATCGTCGAGGATGGACTTGATCTGGATTGACGTTATAATTCCCCAGACTGAGCAGATAAGGGAGCTAAACCATAGGGCGTCGGCGAGCCAGATAGGGTTGGGAACGGTGGACCAGGAGATTGTGGCGAGGGTTGCGCCGGTGCAGAAGGAGGCCTGAAGATGATTAGCATCATGAGGTGTTGATGAAAGACGTAGAACGGTTAAAAATGTAGAGCAAGTGTAGATGTGGAACAGAGATGATGACAGATACGCTGCATGGGAGCTCAATATTATGACTTACAGCTACTTGAACAGACTGTAGCTCCGCATATTTATCCGTCTTCCAATCCCTGATTTTCGCAACTAGCACTGTTCGATCGCCGTCTGCGGCCCGGATTTCCCTGATCGGCTTCCATGTGTATAGCTTGAACGTCCGGCGATACGGCGCTGTGAAAATGATCAGAATGACCTCTGTTAGAAAGACAATCCATCTGGTGCTATGTTTAACATTCTTTGACGTTGGAGGAGCCTGAGTTTGGGCTCGGTCCGCCATTTCGGGAATCTGGGTTCGTTATGTCATGAATGCTCGACGGAAAGATTGTCACGCAGTATGAAAAGAAATATGGCCTCAGTTTGCTATGAGATTGAGGATCGAGGATAGAGGCAGGATTTGCTGTTTGCTTGGTGACATTTGATACTGTGGGCAATATTGGAAGGCTGCAGGTAGGAAACCGGAATGTGCACATGGGTGGCTGCATCGTGGCTTCCTAAATCTTGGATTGGCCTCTGTGACTCGATGAGAGCAGGCCAGCAGACTGTCTAGGACGTTAAAGTCAGGTACACGGTGCATCATGCGGCAGTGCTCGTGACTATTTAATTGGTTTGGCGTTGTACAGATTTAACTAGCAGGCACTCGTCTAGGTAAAAGACGCCACAAGTCAACCGACATATCTGGATTTTCCGGGAAATAACCAATAAGGGATTTTTGTTCCTCGCTTTTCGGAATAATGCAGAGTCTATTCGATACGGATCTCCCCTTGAACTCCGATTTGGGACCGGAATGATTAGTAAGCGATGGGTGAGGGTACATCTAAACTGCAAAACAGAGTATCATTGCCCAAGCAGTTACTCCGATCCTGAAGGGTTTTAGTCCTGGTTTGGCCTTTCCACGATAAGTAGCTGGACAACCACCACCTCTTAGCAAATAACTTCTCTTACCCCTCTCTAGGGACCACCTAACGAATTCCTCGAGGCGTCTAAGTCTCAAAGAACAAAACCGGACTTACCATCGAAACTCCACCTTCTGTCAATCATGAAGTCGTTTAGCCCGCCAGACTATATCATATTCCACACCTCCGCCGTTGGAAGCCATTCCCAAATCCCTCGCCAACCGTGTTGCCTCTTTTGTGGCCTTTGGGCGCAAGTATATGCTCAACGACACTACTCCGGGGCCCAGCCAGAACACCGTTACCATGGGTCGCCTCGTCGGTGATGTAGTGCTATTCCTACAGCTTGTCGACATCGCGGTACATCCCGACCACCAGAGGAAAGGGCTGGGAAAGCAGATCATGAAGAAGCTCGTCGACTACGTGGATGCGAATGCTCCGCATGCGTATGTGAGTCAGGTGGCAGACCCGTTGGGACAGAGGCTGTATCCGCAGTTTGGGTTCAAGGGCGTGAAGCCGGGGATCGGCATGTATCGGTACTTGAGGATCCAAGAATGACAAGGAGTTCAAGAGGGCGAGGGAGGCAAAGATCGCAGCATTGATGCGGTAGGCCACAGCAGGGCCATAGTGAGTGATACGTGATTGATGGGTTGACGGTGCATAGTGGGCGGGGAGGGTGTCGCTGATGAGTTCAGTGGCACTGCTAGCCTTTCACCGGAGGCAAGTGTCCGTGCGCAATGCCGTCACATCGTATTTTCCAATGACTGGAGGCTAAATGTATATCACCGTCCATATCGAGCCACAGATTTGCTGTTGCTTTGCACCTCGATCGATCGATATCCGTGTCTGGTGCGCTCTACGAACGCCGCTGTCTGCTATGATGCAGGCTGCCAGCCGCTCCATGTCCCCACTCTCCGACGATTCGACCCCGCCATCGGTACGTAGCTCTCAAGTGCAGCCTAGCAGTCCCTCGAACATCCCCATTATGACCTTGTGAACCCGGGACTGATCCCATATCTAGCTAGAAGCTCTTCCCGACGAACTTCTTCAGCTTATTGCATCCTACCTTTCCCCCTCCGACCTCAAGAGTCTTTCACTCGTCTCAAAATGTACCCACCCACACGCGACAGCTCTCCTGTGGCGGAACGTGAGTTTGATAGACTCATGGAAGTGTCATGTCAGGGAGGGTACCTGCCAAATGTGGTCCGATCGGGGTCAAGGTGAATCGGACGAGCATGATGATACCGCTATCATACAAAAACTGTACATATTGGCAATGTACGCTTCCCTACGGCCCCGTTAACCTCAAGCTACGCGCTGACGCATGACATAGGAATCCGTTCGTCGCCTCGAAGGTCCAGGTCTTCACTCATCGCTGTCACCTTCCGACTCCTGGCATCTTTTCCGAGTTGCGAAGATTGTACTTCCACAGCCCATATCTCTCTCGAGACGCCCGAACGCTCAAACTTCTGCAGCTGGCAATCCGTAACATGGTCAACGTACATACATTAAGGATCGTTTTCGGCCACCACAATCTGACCAAAGGTCTGCTTGAGGGGTTTCTGGATCCCACTCGACCACGATGTGTGCCTCTTCGCAAGCTCTGGCTGGAAAGTTGCTGTCTGCTCCACATACCCATAGACTTTGGGTCGTCGTATAATCTCAGCGGCCTGGAAAGTCTTCGAGTTCGCCGTATGAGAGCCGAGTCACTGGATACCAATGATAATTACGTGATGCAACGCAGAGGGAGTCGCGAAATAGACTTCAGGCTAGCTCGAGGCGGGCTCTCCTTCAACTTGCACGACGCTGCCGGCGGTTTCTACTCAACTACAGTTGATTTTCCTGTCTCTGATGCCCTTCATCCACGCATACGGCCTTTGAGCGCAGAAGAGTTAAACGCAAAAGCAGAAGAGTTTGATGCTTTGATTTGGAGTGCTCTTCCGGAGGTTGAACATTTCGTCTCTGAAAATCACGTCTCACCCCAAATCTCGAGTAGGTGCCCTTCAATGCCGCTCGCTAATCTATTCGAGATGTCTTCATCGACATTAACCAAGTTGAACCTGGATTGGATAATGTGGCGCGACGGAGACGTCGACCCCGAAAACCATCATCTTGCACTTGCGACATTGTTTCGGCTATCCCAGTTGAGATTCCCCAATCTGCGCTCCTTCCAGCTCCGAAATGCAGTCATATCGTATACTGTCCTTCCCCCTGACCTATATCTGCTGGAGCCTGGCGCTTTTGGAGCACCTGTATTCCTAGACTTCTTGGAAGCTCATCCCAAACTCCAATGCTTAGGATGGCCACTAGACAGATTTTACTCCCACACAAGGCCATCTGCGGGTATCATAACTCGTTCACGTAACCTAGTTGACCACCTTGGGAGAGTTTTGATTGACCTGCGTCTTGATTCGTACTACGATAGTGACGGGGAACCGCAAACAGACGAAGACCCATCCCAACTAAGTTTCCAGGCACGTATCCGCCGAAGAAGGTTCATCAGCGAGTTTGCCCCTTTTATGACCAGAGTTGAGCAGATTAAGTTGGAGGGTGGTATTCCCCGAGACGAGAAACGC